ATAAAAAAACATCTTTTATTCTCAGTGTATTTGTCTCTTTGTGTAATTTGTGCCACATCGGAGGGCAGGGAGCAATCATTGCTCCTGCTGTAACCAGATTCCTTCTGAACCAGTGACTTTCTTGTCCTTATCGCAGCATCGGCACACAGGGGAGCCCGAGTAACCCAGGACGCGCTGATGTCATCCCGAAATGGGCCATGGACCACAAAGCGGGGCAGCAGGACTTCAAGCCGTGCCATATAGTGCCCCATTGATTTGTTAGCCGTGTTGTCTGCGTGTGATCTTCTTGCCCTTTGGAGAGAAAAACCAAGAATGACTAAAAGCGCCCATGGACCCGATGATGTAATTCCAACTTGCGCATATATTGTGTGTACTTTGTGTGTTTGGCTCAGTGGAAGTGTTTTCTTTTTTTCTCTGTGCGGCTCACGCAGAACACAGGTGTAACTTGTTAAAGGGTGGCTGTGCTGTGTGGCCCTATGGGTGAATGAGTGCAGTCACGCTGAGAGAATTTCTATAGGACGTCATTTGTCCATTCACAAACATGATTGAGGTGATCGCAATAGGGGTTACTCAACGGAAAGAAAAAATATGCACGTATAGAAAGGCGATAAGAAGTGCTATTACAATCACATTAGTTGTATGGCCATATTTGCTTGAAGATAAGACAAGCTAGGTAAGAGGCAGCCTGGTTGGGACTCTGATGGGAGACTACTTGGAATACGAGGTGCCACAGTGGGGCGCTGTGGTGCAAAAGTGTAAAACTTGAATTGGGTCCTTAAGCAAAGACACTTCTGATCTGCTGTCCTACATCTGTCTTCATTATGACTTTTGCTGTGGTCTGGTCTTTGCTAATGTCCCATTGTGTGTTTAACGGTGTGATGATGGGACCCCTGAATCTGGCCTCTCTCATCTTCACCCCCCTCCTCACCTGGGGGCAGCCTCAGTCCTCGTTCTACAACCTGAGTCCTGGATCATTAGCCTGTGCGAACGTGGGAGCGGACCCCTTTCTCAATGTGGGTCTCCCCAAGGTCTCTCACTTTTTTTTCCCACTGAGATTTTGTGTTCTTCCTGCACTGTTTTTAGTTTTTTAATCTGTTTTATTTATTTAGTTATGTACTTGTCTTGTGCACATCGACTTTTGTAAACATACTCCAATGTGGTTTTACTGCAAATGGCAAATAATATGAATCTGATTGAACCTGAATCTCAGATCTGTCCATTATATTAACCTCATGACATCACCAGTTTGTTCCAATTTACCATATTCTGTTGAACCAAGACATATCCATCATAGTAGATAATTGATTCCTATGTTACTCCACGAACAGCAAAGCCAGTGTTGCACATATACTTTGGTTCACCTGCACAAGAGCACATGTGTGGGGTGATGCAGTAGAAATACAGTTCATAAGTCCTCAGAGGTGTTCTTTACCGTGTCCGACTGCGCTCGATGGAAACATGAGGTCATTGTTTCAAACAGGTCGGACTTTATAGCAGGTCCTATAGACTGACATCACAGCAGACCTGAGCTGGACACTGGACAGGGGGCGGGGAGGGGGGAGAGGGGAGAGGGGACCCGCTTCCACCAATGAGAATGTACTTATTATGTCATGGATACAAAACCCGTGTGTCAACATGGCACAGAAAGGTTACTTATGGGCAGAGTTATTTGTGAAGTGAGTAAATAACCAGTATTTATATAGCACATTTCACACACCATGGCACACACAGAACTTTACAATTTGGGGTTTTAGTCATTCTCAACAAACATGATGATGACAAAAGTTGGATACCAAACCTTCAACCATTACGATTACATATAGGGTTAGTGGAAATCTACAGGGAGAACATGCAAACGCCACACAGAAAGTCACTGTCTGACTCTGGGATCGAACCCAAGAGTATAGTCATGGCTGATGGAGCATAGGGGTGACAGTATAACATTAAAACTTTTCAATTCAATCAAACAGTTCAAACCCAAGATATGCAGGATAAAAAACACATAGGGCCATTTGTCCATAAGGAGCAGATGACCAATTTATAACAATGTTGATGTAAATAGATGTATCAACAGTAGTGGTAGAAGTAGTGTCCCTTACTACTACTAGTATTACAACTATATTGAAATATATCTAATTTAGGCTGTTGTCTATGTGATAATAACTCCTGACCATATCTCTACAAATTATGTTCAAAACCAGATTGACACAGCTCTGTTCTAGATTGTACATAATAATAATAATAATAATAATGCATCGGTTTTATATAGCACTTTTTTCTCAAAGACGCTTCACATGTCATTATTCTTTCACTCCAAACACGGTGGTGATAAACTACTACTGTAGCCACAGCTGCCCTGGGGCACACTGACAGAAGCGAGGCAACCAGTATGTGCCATCGGCCCCTCCGACCACCACCAACCATTCACACACACACCAGACTCATTCTAGGCAATGGGGGTGAAGTGTCTTGCCTAAGGACACAACAGCAGTTTGACACTTTAAAGCCGCAGCCGCCCCACTGTGGCATCAGGTGTTCCCAGAGGTTAAGTGTCTTGCCAAGGACACAACGACAGCAGTCAGATAGAATGATGTAATGTGTGATTAGGCTTTTATCAATTTTCATTATGATTTTTTATATACCTTTTCTTTAGTGAAACACTTTGTATTACTTTGTGTACAAATTGCGTTCAAACTTGCCTTTCCCACGCATATTCTTGCAGTACACTGACTTGCCCACTAAATTCTCTTTGACATATTAACTACATGTAATGCAATCGGAGCTCAAATGTGGTACCAGTGTGTACATATGAGATTATACGACTCCTTGTAAAGCCAAGTGCTGTAGTAGTCTTGGCACCACACAGCACGACCATCGCCAAGCACCACGTATGAATCATACAGAGACCACATTAAAAACACAGGATGTAACAGCAACAGGGTCATGGTAAGTTCTGCTTGACTGAACTATCAAAAGTCCTTCCATAGTAGGGATTCTGCTTGCTAAATGTATGGCCATGTATCCTAGTACTTTTGTTTTACCGCTCAGGGACTACAGGTGTAAATGACCACTGCTGCAACAACCTGGTACAATGCATCTCTCTTCTTTGCTAACGTTTGTTGTACACTGTCCCTGTAAAAAAATGTAAAATTCTACTCTACCATTGAGAGAATTGGATTTACTAGATGCAAGAATTCACATATTTTCGAAAGTATACTCCCCTAAGTCTTAAAATGTCAAACTAATGTATATTTAGCGAACCAAGCAGCAAAAATAACTCTAGCAAATCTTGTTTTGCTTTCAATCCCATTCATAAAAACATCCCCAAAAAAACATTACAGCCTTTGACACATCCTGCCTTTGATGCAACAGTGGTGGTTTTGATGAAGGGTCCGCCCCTGCCCCCGGGTGCCCAGGCGGTATTCCCCCTCTCGTAGATAAACAAACCAGCTGCATCACTATAAATGACATAAGATGGGATTTTGGGTTCCCTCAAATTAGCGTGGAGTTTGAGTGGAAAGTGCGGTGAATGGCGGGCTTGGTGAGTGGGGACTGGTGGTGACAATAGCGGCAGAGATACACAAAAAAAGACACACAAAGATGCCCTGTGTTCCTCCATTAAGTCAACAATGTCAAGTACAACACTAGACCCAGTGTGCCGATGTATACGTTTAGATGCTGAGAGTCAAATGGACTATAGGGAACAATCAGGGGTTAATGGCAACTGCTGGAACTACGGCCAGGATTAAATCGTGAATGGAAACTATTGTGATGCTAGGTTTAAATAGGATCTTTGTGCAAACGGAAATTGCCACGGCAGGTTTGTGGGAAACATTTTTATATTAAATTGTACTGATTTCTTTATTTTTGTTTATACTTAACTTTTAAAAGCCATTAAGAAGTAACATATAATTTCCTTTGATTTGAATGACTTTAAAGATGCTCTGCTTGCGTAAAAGTCTCTCCATGGCCTTGCATCCTCTTTGTCACTTTGGGCTCAGAGCTGATTGGCTGAGTGAGGGTGGTAATACATTTGTCCCTTTTCTGTCTACAATAAAGATATGAGGCCAATAATACACACATGTGAAATAACTAGCAATAGAATAAAACTCTTGTGAGAGCGTTGAACAGGTTTTGTAGATCTTTTCCTTGATCCAAGGTAATCATTAGGTCTGACAGCTTTCATAAAGAAATGAAATTAGCTCATTCAGGTAGTAACTTGAAATTCAATTGGACCTCACACCCTGTGAAATCTGGGTCTGGAATGACTGGGGCGACAGTAGCTCAGTTGGTAGAGCATTGGCCTTTGACCATGAAGGTCGTGGGTTCGAGCCCACCGTAAGACCTACTTCATGTCTCCCACTGATGACTGCTGTTGTTGTGTCCTTGGGCAAGACACTTAACCCTACTTCGCCCAAAAACCCCAACTGAAAGGTCTCAGCTCCTGTGGACTCACCACCTGCAGGAGGATCAGTGAGGGGCTGGTGCTCTGTGTACTGGGTGCAGTTCTAACTGCCACCCCCCTGACCCAGAAATGGATTGAGGGGAAGAAAATGGATCGATGGATGGGTAAGCCTGGTTCCCATCAGCCCTACTTGGCCCTACATACGCAACTCTGCTCTACCTGGTTGTGTTTTTCTAATGCTTTAGTATCTGGAACTGAATCCTAGCAACTTACTCAAAGCATCCGGGATGATTTCTGTGTAACCATGGCTTCCCGCAGGACTCTGTCCAATCAATGTCAGTTGGAACGCTTTCGTACCAGCTCGGCCAAGCAGGTAGTATAAAGGTACCTGGTACCAGTGAAACAGGGCCGGTGGAAACTTTTCCAATTAGGGTAGAGTAGAGCTGAGTAGAGTAGAGTATGGGCCAAGAAGAGCTGGTGGAAACAGGGCTTCAATCTGTAAAGCAAAGCCCAAAACACTTCCGCCTCTTACAGAAAGAGCATCAAAAGAACACAATGCTACTTTAGATGCTGCTCAATTTCTGATCATGAATGAATGACTGTGAGGAGGATAAACCGTGAGTAAACTGCCCACATTAAAGGCCAGTTGGACACAGAGCTTGGTTGAGACCGCGCTCACGTCTTTGCGCGCCTTCAGACTGCTCTTTTGTGCTGATCCTGGCCGCTCAGCTGGGCCAATGCAGCTGCAGTGCCTCCTCCACGGGCAGACCGCTGCTCCAAAAACAGCCCAATAAATGCTATTGTCCTCACCTGATTGATCTTTCACAAGCCCACAGAGGCCCAGACACGGCGCGCAGGGCAGGGGCGATGGCGAGGAGCGGGCGGGCTGGCAAACAAGCGCCCCAGTGTGTGCGCAGGAGGTGGAGAGAGAGTGCAGGCCAGTGCAGGTGGCTGAGGGGCACGGTGGGTTTGGCTCAGGGGATCTCATCACATGCCAACACGGACGTTTCCTGTGACTGTGGGCGTTATACACACGACGGCATCCAAGCAACAGTTTGGCCTCAGAGGAGAATAAGAGGGCTGCAGGAAAGCACAAAGAAAATCCAGTATTAACCTCTCATTTATATATACATTTGTTTAATGAGAAATACATATTGATAAAGAAAAACTGTCCATAGAACGTTCAGACCTGCATCAGAATTTGAAAAGGGTCAAAGAGAGTCAGGTCATGAATGAGTCTTGCCTTTGTCTGTCTTGTCTGTCAATGAAAGGTCTGTTGGATATTCTTGTTCGTCCGACTACTTTGGTCTTGCCTTTTTTATTACTTGATGTCTATATGATTTTGTTGGTTGCAGGGAACATTTAGTTAGGGCATCTTTTTTGTTTTGAATGTTCATTGCCATCTGCCAAAAGTTGTCAGACATTGAAATAATGCAAATAAAGACAATTGTATGTCAAAACAGAAAAAGAGTCATGAATGTGTTTGATTTAAGTAAATTGGAAGTGGTTGGCCAAAGGAGCACTTGTATGACACTGCAGGATTACACACTAATGAATCAACCAATAAACTTCTTTACAGGTTGATTCATGTATTGGATTCATTGGATATTGGGGTTACAGTCGCTCACCCTCTCATGCGACCCAGGGGTACAAGCCACAGCAAAGCCTCCTCACTCCTGTAACCCTCACTCTGCCTTCGTCAGAGGGTTGCAAAGCTTTTTTGCTCCATTGGTCTGATTCATTCTTTAACCCTAACGGTCTTTGGCAATGAGTGAAATCCTGGTACAATATCTCCTCTTTGCTAGTTCATCAAAAATCACCTTTCTCTTTCACACTGTGCAACCCATGCGTCTTTTTGACATGCCACTTAACAGACCCCCTGGAGGACACCACCTTCAAATGTTGCTGACAAGGTGAAGATGGTTAAAAAACTACACACAAGGATCAGTGAGCCGTGTAAGAGTGAAGCTTTACCATCAAAGTTTAGATGTTTGCACACACTGCTCTTTCCTTTGTAAAGTTTTCCTTGTAAAAATGGTGTTGAAAACATTGATACTGCTCCACATGGACATTAAGCTTCAAGACTTTTATCTGGCTTATAGACCGGTTTGTTGTTACATTGGCCCTGGGTAAAATCTTTTGCAAATTATCTCAGCCTTTGCCTCCATCCTCATATTTACTAAACATATGCTCAGAGTCAGGACTGAACATCAGAAGGCAGAAGTTCTCAACCTCAGGAGCTGCCTCAGCATGGCGTGGCGTCGGTTCTTCTTCTACAGCCTCAGTCCTGCAGCGCGTAGCCTTGGTCCTCGTTCTGCAGCTTGAGTCCTAGATCTATAGCCCGTCTGTCCGTGGGAGTGGATCCCTCCCTCAATGTGGGCCTCCTCAAGGTTTCTCTCAATGGTTTTTCAGAGTTTCCTCACCGATGCAGGAGGGTCTACAGACAGTGGTGATAATCCAGGACACACAACATATATGGACTTAATCAAGACATACAGTATAGACATTGGTCATCTGCCTCTATTCTCTGATCTGTGTTGGCGAGTCAAGGGGTCGGAAATTCCTCTGAGATAACTATTTTTGTTATTTCGAGCTATACAAAAATAAATGTAGTTGAATTGTATGAAACACAAATTGGAAATCACAAATCAAAGTTGCAAAAGTGCATCCAGCCAGGCCAAGCCAAACAAAGTTAAGTGAAAAGTTCAATCTAATGTAAACGTAAGACATCAACAGTATGAAGAATACTTGAAGAAGTTGAAGACGTTAATCCCAGACTGTCTAAACAAACACACACAATCAGGGTGACCTCATTTGCCACATGTACAGTAGTGGTGAAGGGTGGGGGGTCGTCTGGGCTGCTCCTGCTTCGACATCATCACTGCCAGGAATCCCTCAGGGCTGTTGCATTGTGGGAAATGGTTTGATGGTGCGTGTCTCTTTGTGTGTGGTTGGATTCTCAGCAGGCTGTAACAATCGTGAGACCTGGAGGGAAGAAGTGGTGTGATCCCCGTATCCAGGAAGCCACGCTCCAGAGGTGGCACTAGGACAAATGTCAGTCATGAAGATCGGAAAACCGCTCTGAAGTCTGAAATAAACAAAACACAGTTCTTAATAAGTTATTTTTGGTTTGCATTGTTGTCGCCTGGAAACATGGAAATTGTCATCGAGCACATGGGGATTTCAAGGACAGACGGCAGGACAGTATTTGGCAGAGAAGTAAATATGGATGTGGGGGGAACATTTTTTTTGCATTTTCATCACAAACAAATCTTGAAGGTTATTACGGATTATTCCCAAACAATTAGTAAAACAACAATTCTTCCTCAGTCTATTCCACTCTTGTTTTGTGACTGGCCTGTATGGGAAGAAACATCAACAAGCCGTAACATTATGACCACCAGCAGAACGTATAGCTGAGAACAAAAAAAATGTTAAAAAAAACAACAAAAAACAAACAAGTATAAAAGTTGTGTTTTGAATGTTCGGCAATTTGGTCCAAGCTAATCCTTTGCATCTGATTTTTTTATTGATTTATTCCATTATGTCGGTATTTGGACCAAATTGTTGCTTTTATTCAACTTGAGTTTGAGATTTTTTGGCTGAAATGAAACTAAACCAAAAGTGAGAAAGTCTATCAGAGAATATTAATCACCTTTGATGATACACACAGTATCTCATTCCTTCAAGATTTGCAGGTTAATAATAATTATTTCTGTATACTCTTGGTTGGGAAACACTGGCTTAATGAACTAAAAAAGGTAAAAAATATATAAATTGGTTTTACATATCTATCTACGCCACAGGTGTCAAAGTCAAGGCCCGGGGGCCAGATCCGGCCCGCGAGACCATTTCCAGTGGCCGCTGAGACAAATTTAAATTATTATATTAAAGCAATCTTGACGGTAATAGGCGACAACAGCATGTTATCCATTAATAATTTTCTCAAGAAAACAACAACATTTAATTCCATAAGAAATGTTAAATGTTAAATGTGAAATGTTAAGAAGTTAGTTTGTTAGGTTTTTTTTTAACGAGTCTTCAATTAAATTTCTTAAAGGTATGAAGGAGGATTTCCCCAATTTTCTCTCCACCTTTTGAACAAATCTTTCTGGTCTTATTTGACGAGCACAAATCACCAGAATGATTGACAGTTGCGAGGACCAATAGTCTTGATGATCCACCCAAAAATCTTCCTACATACCTTCAATATTTGGTCCAGTTTTGGTTCAGTCCACAGTAACTGAACTAAGTCGATCAGAAAAGAATAACCAATTTAACTAATGTGAAACAAGTCATTTATATTGATACCTTCATATTATAAAAACAAGTACAATAAATGAAACCCACTTCTTCTTTTGGCCCCTGATCAGCCCTTTAATTTTTTTTTGGCCCAACCTAAATGAGTTTGACAACCCTGATCTACAACCTCATTGATCAACCATTTCCAGGTATAACAACGGTGCAAATTAATGTACAATTTATAAAGAAAAGAAAAGCCCAAACATACTACATATTCATTGTGTATCTTTACCTTCCAAAAAAGTATCCGCAAACTCAATGCACGTCACTGCCTTGTCTTTCAAAATTCTAAATGCGAACGCACAAAACCCGGTTGGACTTTTGACATTTCTTACGTAGTCATTTTAGCTATCATTTCGGTGACACGCCTAGGATCATTTAACCTTTAATGAAAGTCCAAATGACAAACACAGTGAAACTTGAGAGGATTTTGCCACAGTAACAAAAGCTGCCCTCTCATCTCAAACCAGTTTCTGAACACAGAGTCACCGTGTGGGAACAATGTGATCCTGTCAAAGTCAACATCGTATTGTGACAATCTAAAAGTCGAGCATAGAACCGACTGCAGACTGTCGCCACATTTCAAACCAAGAATTTAAAGTGTCTAGCTGTGTTACTGACAGCATCACAACAATGGACACAGGTCATGGGCTGTCCACTTTGTAAAACGCTGTATTATAGTTTGTTGTTAGCAGTTGAAACGTTGACTAGAGCAGATTTATTTTGTCTGCTGTCGAATAAACTGGTAGTATTTTTAAATGTGTAAAGGGACCACTCTAAACTCATCCCTTCTCTTGTCCCTAACTCTGAACCAAGCTACCTGTTCCTAACCTTAACCCTAAACTTCCTGACATTTAAAGGAGTCCTGAAACATTGGTTGATATCAAACTAGTCATGTTCCCATTGATGAAGAACTGCTTTTTCTTGGACTTTCTCATTCTCTACTCTTTTAAATTCTTTATGTTGTGATTGTCGACTTTTTGTTTGTGCTTTTACCTAACTGTGTGTTTCTTACCGACCTTAGGACAATGGATGCAATTTAGCTAGTGTGCTAATTCCAGCATATTTACATTGACGCTGTTTGCAGACACATTGATTCATATGTACTGTCCTAAATTCAAATATCTGAATTAATAACCTTTAACATGACTGTTACTCGTAATTACAGTTTGAAAAAGAAATGTACAGATATATGTCCTTCCTGTATTGTTGAAGAGGAGGCAAGCAGGATAGATCCAGGACCAAGAACCTATGAAAAGGATTCTTGCAGAGATACAGAATATTGTCCATTTCAAAGTCTATTATTCTAGTTTATACTGTCCAGCCGATATGTATGAATTCAAAATCAAATAACTTCACCTGTGAGGAACTTAATTTGCAGACGGAGCACCAGCGGGGGTACATAAAAACACAAGATCTAAATATAAATGCAATAAAAGCTGAGCTGAAATGCAATATAAATCAGGTCTCCCAATCAGCATAACTTTCCCATTCACATGTTTCTCGGCACATAGAGTTTGATGGACTTTTGTTTGTTATTCTAAGCTACATACCCAAGCTTTGATGCCAGATTTTTACCGCGAGCTCGATTCAATTCAAATGGTTTCTACTTTGCTACAGATACCCACATGAAAGAGTCCCGTTTAATAATCATACATTTTGATCCACTCCACCACTCACTTCCCTTGTCTGTATAAAAATGATAAACGCACTCTACCATCGATACATCATCAGAAATCACATTTATCACCCCTCTAATAGTCACATGTGATGGTCCAATCATACGGCTGGACGTGTTGTAACAGTATATAGTACATGTGAGCTTGGTCAGCACAGTGATAAGTACTGACAGAGACTGAGGGGAGACATTTTACGTCCTGAGCAGCTGGGGAGCAAACTCAAAGTGCTTATTGATCACACAAGCGCTGGTCTGATGGATGCCTCAAATGTTATTATAGCCTCCACTGTGCTAGTTATGGAGACAGAGTGGTGAAAGTGCAAGAGACAGGAGCGAAGAGACACTATGAAAATCCAATGTACAATAAAAGCATTACAGGGGGGCGGGTCTGTGTGTCTTCATTTCTGATCTCCTTCTTCATCCTGGTCGGGAAGATGGTGATTGATAAGACGGACTAAATAATTGACTTATGAGAGGAGGAAACTTAGAATGTTAAACAGAAGAAATGTATGTTGATTTCTTCGCTGTAATTTCCACCAAAAGGAAGTGAGTATGAAAGCAAATCGTGTTTCAATCTGGAGAGACAGACAACAGACAAAAATGTATTTATTAGTTGTCTGCTACTGCGTAAAGGATGGGTATGTGACTCTGCAAAGACATTGAATGCAAGAAAATGGGTTTAGACCCTGGTGGTGGTAGCTCAGAGTTGAAGAGATGGTCTGGCTGAGGAGGCAGTGATGGGGAGGAGGAGGGTTGTTGCACGATATGAACGCTCAATGACTATGCAACAGTGTTTCAATGCAGCCAGGTGACAGAGGATTGGGAGTACGGAGCTGCCGGATGAGTGACTGAATGCTGTTGTGGCGCAGTGACAGTCTGTAAATCAAAATATGTCTTAAGGTTCATTTGGTCTTCTTAGTATTTTAGGTTCTTTTGAATACCAGACAATTATAAGATAGCGATAATGGTAAATGGTTTGTCTTCCTCAGAAATGTCAAACAGTATGTGTATTTATATAATCACTACAGTAATATCAAAATGGACATACAATAACAATAATAAGTCGCATTAGGCTTGTTTGAATACTTCACCACATAGAACAATACTGTGTCTATGCCTCTATAAATGTCCCAAAGCTTCTGAGGCAAAAACACATTTAGTTGAAGCCAATTTGTCATTTTGTGAAGCTGCCACTTGACATTCTTTCAAAACAGGTCTTGTCTCTATTGAGTTCATCTGTCACAATCTATTGTTATTGCACAGTGGAGGCTCTAATACCAGGCACTTTGAACAATATGCTTCCATTTTACACGGCTAAGACTGTCTCCATCAACTTAAATGATTCATAGTACATTTACAGCCCAATCAAATACCTATTCTTCCGCAGGTGACAGCCTCATATCCACATTTGCTCCACACTTGAGCTTGTCCTGAGCAGGAACATTAGACCTAAATCTAAATGTGCATCTGAAAGCAGGAAACGTATATGTGCTATCACCTGTTATGGACATCAAAATTGATCTAAACAGAGGAAGAAAGCCATGTGTAGACATTATCTGTCTGCGTCGCGCCTACAATGTCTCTCAGCCCTCTACAATCTAATTACTCTGATTAAGTTTATTACTTTCCTCCAAAACTTGTATTCCTGTTTCACCAAACACTAAACACTATGTCTGTGTTGGAGGTAAGTCCTTTGAAAAGCCAATATATACTACTGTCATGTTATACTTTGACTAAAAGCGGCTTTCTTTTTAATCTTTGTGTTGCCTTGTAAACGTGTCTAGCTTTAACCATGCAACCACGTAAACAAACTTTGAGTGCGTCTGGGCAGGACAAGAAAAACACGACAGGACGTTCGTGCCAAGGCAAGTTTTTATGAATGGAACTTTTTTCTATCTCTCCCCAACTTTCCCTCTCTCCCTTTTTTGTGAATGAAAAACAACTTGAAAATCCTGTAAAAAAGCAAGCTCGCGGATTGGCCAAAGCTGCTTCAATCTCCACCCATTTGCGTTTCTGATTGGTCCAGAGAGCCAGAGCAAGACTTCATTCATAGTCTGTATGTTCAAGGGGACAAAGGCAGCGAAATTCGAGCCCCTGAAAGAGGAAATCATCCAATCACGGGACTTCACTGGAGAAAGATTGAGAAGAACAAGTTGCAATAACATCCCAAAGCAACATCACCGCGTGAACACAAACAGAGCAGCGGTTTCAAACTATTCTCTCGGTCATATAACTTATCACTTCAGTCACAACGTCAACCAAAAGCGTGCAATATTAGTCAAGCTACGTCCAACATCTGGTTTTAGTCACAGTTCTGTACAGTAAGCAATCTGCAAAGTTGGCATACGTGGCAACATGCAAAATGGCGTTTGGAAATAGCGCTCAAATCCGTGCGTAAAATTGACATAGTTTGGTTTGGCGTGGAGTTCATAGCCAACACTTTTGAGTAAGTATGTGACAATGCACCAGCCTACATTGCTACACTATCAGAGCCCCAGCCTTTGCCTCAAAACCCCTAACATCCAACTGCTATAGGTCATCTAACCCCGTGCGTAAAAATGCAATCAAAAATAAATAAGTCATTACGCATGACAAAAAATAGAGTAAAGGGACTTGCAGGTCGCTTTGCTTGGTGCCCGCTGGGTAATCACTCGCCAGCACTTCCCTTCTCGGCATTTTTTGTGAATGGGGCTCATTATGCATGCAGCCTCCACGCAGTCCATTCACGAGCGGCGCTGCGTCTGTCTGCAGTGGTGCGAGGCAGGCGGACTTTGCGTGGACTGCTCTTCCATTACTCCACACACAGCAGCCTCAATGACCACGAACGGCTAACGGGATGGATTATAAGATGGATGGATATTTGGACCAGCAAGTGCCTTTTACGTTAAATGTGCGTATGTGTGTGTATGTGTGTGCGTGTGTGCTTATATGCGCTGTTGTGTGTGTTTCAGTTTAAATCGAGGTTGCGCGCTGGATGATAAGACCAGTTTCGCTTTTGTGTGTGTTTTTTAAGTGTTGTTGAGCTGTGCAACAGTAAATGCAGCCCTGATATAGTATGGTATTTGGCGTGAAGTTTTACGCAAAGTTAACCCTGTTTGAGTGTGCCAAATGGTCACTTTAGCAGTGACAAACGCGCCTTGTTGTTCTAAAATCGCTTTCATAAATTGCTTTATCCCCGAGCAACTTATTTACAATGCAGCCGTAATTAGATTCGCACAAATCTTACGCAATATTAAGTGATTGTTCAGCTTTCATAAAGGCATTGTCAGCGCTGTTGTTTTGGCTTGTCTTGTTGTTTTGGCTTAATAGACTTATCATTTAAACTCTCTCTAACATGTATGCGTTTTGCAGAAGTCGCAAGGAAATGGGCCTCTAAATAGACTGTTGATGGCAGCGAAAAGGAAATACATGGACACAGAATTACCCCCTCAGGAATCCGAAGGTACAGTCAAAAGTGCAGCCCCTGGCCTCATTACCTGACATGTTTACTGCGCACCATGTTACACGTAACCAGACTTGACGCATGTGGATTTTGACCTGACAAAAAGTTTAAATATTACATGAAACGTCAGCTCGTTTGACTCTGTTTTTGTTTCTTATTTCCAAACAGACCTCTTCCAGGATTTAAGCCAACTCCAGGAGACGTGGCTCACAGAAGGTTAGGATTTTGATTTTACTTGTTGAAAGATTGGTTTGGACCTGCTCTCAAAGTTTTCTGGCTTTGGTTTAAAGCTAGCAGTTTGACTTGTGGAGCTCTTTTGAGATTTGATCATGTTTTAAAGCTGGGTTACCTAACTTTTATTTACTTTTTTTTGCCTGAACTGACACGGTCTGTAAAAATGAAAATGCTGTGACCAATGATTAAGACCACTCCATGCTGTCTTGATCTTATTGCTACACATTATATCTTTTGCCTGAAGTCACCCTTTTATGCTTTGTCCTGATATCTGATTGGCTCAGTGACAGTGACTCTCTCTTTTCTGTCTGAAAAAGTTGATCTAAAGATGTGATCTAAGCCAGGACTCCCTTGAAAAAGAGGTTCTTGATCGCAATGGGACTTTCCTGGTTAAATAAAGATTGGATACAAAATTAATAATTACAAAAATACATGCGTGTGAAAACCGTAGCAACAGTTGAGAACGAGGAACTAGAGAAATAGATTTTATTTCAACTGATCTATTTTTGTGGTTTAAAAGTTAGGTACCTCAGCTTTAAAATAGACATTAGTTTGTTACCAACATTTAGACCAAGGGGAAAAGCAAATGTGAAATGTGTCGGTATATGTTACTGCTGGGTTTTTTGAATTATTTGTTTTTCTAGTTTTTGTGTGTTTTGCTAGAGACCATTCCACTCTCCCTGCACTGGCCAAAGAAAATTAAACCTTGTCTTTTGTTGGGCTCATCCTGTGTGTATCTGTCTCTATTACTTCCATGTCTGCATTTCGAGCTCTTCTCTGCAAAATTGGCCATCTGCAATCACCATAAAAACAAAACGCTCACAAACACACACACAAACACACACACAGACACAAGTATTATCTGGAGCGTGCCCTATTTTGGCCATGTCGCGGTGCATGCCAGTCCCGAGCCAAGCCAAACAAACAGGCAATCCGGCCCGTGTCACTCAAGAGGAGCAGAGCGGCGGGATAGGGGTCCGGTCGCAGGCAATTGTCAGCCATAGACTTAATAAGAGCCGTGATGACGTGGGAACTAATGGAGTCATTACACTGTGGGACACTGGAGGAAAACAACACATGTCCAGAGTCATTATCAAGCTTGTGTGAAGTTAAGGCAGCGGAGGCAAAATGGTGTTTGAGAGGGATTGAGATTGTTTTTGATGGAGGAATGGGAGAAATTTGAAATATATGGTTTTAGAGAAGAGTAATGTGTTATTTCACTACAAAAAGTGTCTCCAAAAAAACTAAGAAAAAATAGCCAGGGAATGAACTTGTTTCAAGCAAAGTGATCTGCCAGTGGATCAGGAATCTTCCACTTTCCGCAAGAAAAACATATTAAAAACAAGTGATATTATGTTAAGTATCTTCCTGAGTAGAAAATCCAGAATACGGTGTGATTATAAATACACTGATATCAAGTTAACTACACAACTTTTTGCAGTGTTGCTACTTAGAAACATGTTGGGAAAAGCTAGTTTTTTTTAAAGCCAGATATATTTTAACGCCATACAATTAAAGTTTCACCCCTTCTTGAGCAAATTCTTTCAAATGTACTGCCGATTATAAAACGTGTTGAAGATTGTGGGTACAGGAGTAGAACTTTTATTTTCAAAGTTATTTCAAGCAAATTAACTATTCATATGCAATGAAGTGTTAGGTTTAGTCAAGATTTAGTCTCACGCCCTAAATCTGGGCTACCTAACTTTTTTGTTTCATAAATAGTACATGTCTGAGCAGAAAGAAAAAAAAATCTTAGTGCAAAATATATTGTATAATCTCCATAATGTGAGAAGGATGCTTTGGGCTGAAAGATGATAAATTTCTCTTTCTCACTTTTCTGACTCAAAAAGATGAAACAGAGGCTTAAAAAACGCAATCATGTGGAAGCAAACTCTTTAAGCAAATATTTTTAGACGCATTTTATTGCAAAGTTCAAAGATTAGTGGTTTTTAAGTTAGCTAGCACTGCTTTAAATGCAATATTAATAGACTTTTTCAACAGTATCTGAGCTAGAAAAGTTTGGATATTTAGGATTTGGCAATGTACCGTATTATTCCACTGTAAAACGACAAGGCATGTACAGTATTTTTGTATGGCACAGTTCATACACAGGGCAACTCAAAGTGCTTAACAAAACAAGAAAGGAAACAGTGTTTTTCCAGTGGCTTTGCGCGTTGTTTTTATGCAATTCTTGACACAACACCGTCCCTCCAAACTATGCGGCAAAACAACGCAGGCATGAATTAGCTCCTGGGAGTATCTCAAAACACGACAATGAGACGATCTATAAAACTGGCCCGAGACAGAGACGTAGAGCAAATATGAGACGAACCCTTTTTTTTTGTGCTGCTGATTCTTTTTATTTAAAGAGCCCGGTTTATGGCCGTGGTGCTGTATCCATGTCAGATTTCTCACCCCTTTTCTAATGCGGCCTGAAGAAAACCAGCCAGTCCACTTCACACCACGCAGCCACAAAGACAGAAGCCCATAAAGCAACACAATGGGGACAGAAGCACGTTTGAATCGACACATTTTGGCACAGGGCCACCCTCAAAGACCTCTCATTTAAATACTGTTGGTGCCGGGAACATGATGGAGATGTTTTGCGGTTGCTGTTGACTTGTTTGGGTTCAGTGACGCAATTCAAAAAAAAAAAGATCCAGTCAGAGCTTTGAGGAAGTTAAGGATAGAGTTAAGATATGACATTTACACTCAAAGTTGCAGAGTTATGACCAAAGATGGCGGCGCATTACATACTATCAGTGATTTAGTAAAATGTCTCTTTCTATACCTAAAACAAAATTTCGACTACAGCATCTATAAGCATGCGTTGTTAATATCTCAAGTGAGGACGTCTCTGTTGTAATGCACATACAAATACAAATCACATAAATCAATTTTCATCACATAAAAATTGTTACCTCTTCATTTCTTGACACTAGTTTAATCCTTGTCTTTAAAGAGTGGTAAAAACAACACAAATATTACAGTATTATTGTGCTTTTTACTTTCAAACCACAGAAATGAAGCTACAGTATGAAGATAAAGTTTCAGGCTCTTTCTGTTGGGATAATCTGCATGTGTCCTTTAGGAAACAAAAAAGTTACGTACCCCAGCTTTAAGTTACTTCATCTGTTGTGATCAGTGGGGGCGGGTCCCAGCTCAAAAGTGGCCAAAGTGTTGTGCGCTGACATGCTTGCAATACCACCCCGGGCCGATGGGGGTGGACCCAGAAGAAGAATTAGCCAATGCTAACATATAGCGTTGGCAGACCTCTCAAAAACCTCTTTACAGGACGGACCAAAAGTTGTCTCTTGGCCCAAAGCTCTGTTCCACATGTGTGTCAATGCTGAGGGGGGTGCATTTTTTTGGACCAGTCTAGTTTACTTGCTGTGAATTTTTTAAGTCTCTCGTTCAAATGAATGGAGCTCTCGCCGGCTGACGCATGCGCAGATGCGTTTTTTCACAATTTTCTTGTGGGCGGGACCACTCGCGGCCATTTTGGAAAGCTCCAGTAGAGCACATTTTTTGACCCATTAGTTAGAACGGTGGAGATAGGCGTGACTCTGTCCGTTAATATATACAGTCTATGGTTGTGATCTGCAAAAAATCTCTACGCACTGGTGTCAATAGTTGATAAAAAGTAAAAGGAAAAAATGCTTGATCTATCTATCTACCTACCCACCTGTAAAGTTTTATATTTTTGACACAATAGCTTCCAGGAGATATTAGTCGTTATTCAGGGTTTAATGCGACCCACTTTCCATTTGAATGCTTTGAATTTACCGATCCAAAAACACGAACATAACATTCAATCATAAACGTCCGAATATAGAAGTGCCGGCTCTCACGGATTCTTAATGAAAGAGCGGCTGATGACTGGGACTGAGATAATAAAACATCGCTCGCTAAAGGGGGATGTGATTTCTTTTTCTTTTTTCCCCCCGTCTTTGCATCTATAAGCAGAAGCGGAACAGCGGCGAGTGAATGGCAGCGGTTGAAGAGCTTGTCATGTCTTGTCTTTTTGGGTTTATGTGACTTTTGGCTGGGCTTGAGACTCCGCCCCCGGTCTCCCACTGAGAGTTTAAAAAAAGCAAAAGTGCCTGGAAGTGAACTCCTCTCACTTGTGCGGACTTGTGGCAAAAGGCCCAGACGAAAGGTTTCCTGGAAATAAAGGGGGGCAGTACACTTAATGAGTACTTGAGTAAAAGTACTGCAGCTGTTGAATGAATGAAGAGACAATACTTGAACTCGGGTTACTGTTATAGATTTGCACATAGGCTAGGTTTGTTTTCTTATGTGATTAGTTTGTGTTACTCTTTGGAACAACTTTTCATGAGTTAAAACATGTTCAAACCTGAAACAATTTAAAATAATATTTGCTCCAAAAATTCCAAATTGTGGGATGAAGAAAGTATTTCTTCATCTTGATTGTTTAAAAAGGAAATACTGAAGAAGTACGTGGAGGAAAGGGAGAGTGATGGGAGAGAGGTGTTGGGTCAGAGAGTGTTTTGCCCGGTCTGGTCTGGTCTGGGTGAGTGTGTGTGTGTGTGTGTGTCAGGCTGGAGTTAAAAAAGCACGTCACTGCAAAAAAGTCAAAAAATATCTTAATTTGTTTGTTAATTTGCCTCCCTTGGAATGAGGAAAAAGTCCTACAGTTCTTGCAATTAGACTAAATAGCTTTGTCCCATTTGCCAATCGTGTTTTAAAGCTGCACAAAAAGATTTGGAGAAAATTTCAAACCCGAGCAAAGCGCTCCCTCTCTCTACTCGCCCTCCCAGCACCCACGGAGCTTTCGCCCCCCACTACCCCCCCCCCCCCCCCCCCCGCAGCCAATAACAATAACAATATGGCACTTTTGCACGTGGACGGCGTGTCCATAGAATGACCAATATTCCAATGCACTGCGGATATGGGTTGCATTTTGGTAATGAATACGAAAATAAAGTCAGTTAGTGCAGCTTTAAGACTGTCAACATGAACTCACATTAACATGAAAACCACTTGATTCAAGCAATTACTAGCTCATATTTGATCACTTTTTTGTGTGTTGCTTCACCAGGAAATCTTCCTCTCACAGTGGAAAAATTTCACATTTCTCAAAACAAAAACCAGTTGGAAAATTGCAAGAATTCAAAACAAAATACTGAATTTATCGAACAAGAATCCCGGGTTATGACATGACAAAATGGTCAGAAATTTTGGAAAAGTGAAGTGAAAAATAACATTAAAGTGTGTTCTTGCTGCCAATGCCCAATCCAAGTTTTAAAACTAATATATCCATTTAGAAGTTTTTTTTATTTTTTATTTTACAATAAATTATCAACAAAACAACTAAAGGCTTGATATATCTCACTTTCCATATATTCAGTCTATTAAATATTATTTTCACATTGTAGGTACACAAGTAAATAGACTTTTGAGAGATATTGAAATTGTCCAAGTTTTGCCTGTATTCTGTTTATTCTTTTCAACTCTTTATACAAGTCATTTGAGGAAATGAGTTATAATAAAAACATGATTTAATTGCAAGACTTCGCTCAAATATCTTTGCTCAATTGGGTTCGCTAGCTTCCCTCCAAAAAGACACACTAACCCTATTTTTCCGCTAATGTATCCGGAAAGATCGACCCACATTTTTTGATCAAATCTCCCGACTTGCTCTGCTTTTGTTGAAAGACGCAGATCGATCGCTAAATCTCCAGACCTCTTGTATTGGCCTGCGCTGTGCTTCCCCTCTTATGCAACTTTGCCGTCCCGCCTCAGGCCCAAAGGCACAAAGTTAAAGAGCCTGTAATATTGTTAGCGTGTAGTAAGCGACAGGATGTGCAGATATTACATAAAGAAATCAATGAGGTTTATCTGAACATGCAACGTTATCCGGTTTCCTCTGCGCAGGAAGCGGGAGTGTGACGAAGCAGAGAATTGTGTTTGTGTTTTTGAGCGTTGGTGTCTGGATGAAGGAGAAAAGGCTTGGTCCCGATTCTTTTTCACCGTGGTCCAGTGTGGCTGGGGTCACGGGTTTCTGGTTTCCGAGCGGGAGAACTATATATAGTAGAATTTATTCCAGTATTTGAGGCATTCTTGGTAATTCGCTGATCCATCTCTGTAGCGCCTGAATGCATTATTTACATTTCACAATCGCGGCCGAAAATGTACAGTATCCGTTGATGGAGGTCACAATAATTATTTTATGTTGAAGGTTCAAGAGAGAGGAGGGCTGCAGTGGGTTTAACTTTGGCCCGTGTTCATCAGGATCAGCATAAATCCCTGTTTTTAAAGATTTTTTATTCTCAAGAGTGCCTCGTTTTTTTCTCCTCTCTTCATAAAAAATTCTTTATTTTGACCATAAATGATGACGGTACAATATTGGTACATACTGTATGGGACTGAATATGTCTCATCTGTAGAATATCTTTGCAATAGTGGGAAGAATGTAGCACTTAACATTTTAATATAATACAATTTTAGTTGTTGAGAGTTGAATAAAACATTTTTTTATGGATATTTATGGCCTGATTTTTATTTCATGTATTTAAAAGCTGTTTTATTGGTATTAACATTGCTATATCATAATTAAGCACGTATTAGCCATATCCATAAATGTGTCTTTATAATGGCAGCTTTCTTATCAGTTTGTGAGTCAACTGTACATAGTTCATAATCTTATGTGCTAATTTTATTTTATTTATATTTCTTAAATTTATTGCCAAAAAAGAGCAAACTCAAACACACACAACAACAAAAACAACTACAATTGAACATAATCTGTGAATCTAGTCAATCTCATCTTCAAAACAAGCAGACTTTGTAGTTTGACTTTGTCGTTTTTTGAGGGGGCTTCCATCTTGTGGCAACCATCTTTCCCGCCGCCATAAGCCCCGCCCAGAGAACCCTTCAATGCCTCAGGGCTAACTCTGAAACTTAACCTATGTTATGTTTGTTGCTTAACATAAACCAGGGTCATAATTTGAAAGGAGCAGGATCAGCTTTTCCCTCATGATGTAAGTGCGATGCCGTACGGTGGAAACTCTTTCAAAAACCTTTCAAAAAAACAAACTTGCATCTCGGCTCAGGTCCACACCCAACACTGGCTCATTATGTGACAGACCAATGCGCTCGGTGGGTGCTCCCTGACCCGCTGACCTGTCTCATGGGGAGTTGGCACTTGGCAGTCAAATGATTTTGGCTTTTCTAATCTGTTTGTTTGACTTAGAGTCCAGAGCTTTAGGCTACAATTGTAAAGGGATTAGGTTTTCTATAAAAAAGAGAGGCGTACAATAGTGGCATGTCTGCGCAGCACCTGGGTTGGGCATCTGTCACTAGACCATGAATGAATGTGTAGTAGTAGTAATGTTGCTTTTTAAAACAACATTTAGAGACAGGGACCTATAATTGTACATGGAATGGAATATTGTCTGGGCTGTTGGCAAATGCTTTTTCCATTGACTCTTATGCAACATTCTTCGGGATCTTCCAGTCAATGAGACGTTCTGATTTCAGTTCATCGGCTTTTAGGTTGTGTGTTTTATATGACCAAAATTAAATATCATAATTTTGGTACGTTTGGTCTGTTATTTTTGTGCCTAACCTTAGTAAGTAAGTAAGTAAGTAAGTTAGTAAGTAAGTTTTTATTTATATACCGCCTTTTCACTGCAGATCTGAGTCTCAAAGCGGTTTACAATTGTTAATTATGGGCATTTGTCTCTCACTCCACACAGAGATGGGAGCGGGGTCGCCAGTACAGGAGGCGCATGCTAGAACTATTGGACATATTTTTAGTGGTAGGGGAAACCGGAGTACCCGGAGGAAACCTACGCAGACACGGGGAGAACATGCAAACTCCACTCAGAAAGGCCCTGGTCCGACCGGGATTCGAACCCAGGACCTTCTTGCTGAGAGGCGAGAGTGCTATCCACTCAGCCACCGTGCCGCCTTAGCCAGCTAACCTTACTTAAACCATAGTTCCCTTTACTAGTTTCTCTGTTTGTTTTTGCAAGGTTGGACCCATTTATTAACTATACACAGCTTCATAAGGCATCCATTTTTTCAGTTTCGCAAATATTTGGACACAACTCAATGTATCTAAAATCTGTAATTTCTGATGTTGTGAAGAATACATTGAAGTGGAAATTATTGCTCAAGTCTAGTCTTGCAAAAATCAGTAGCTAATGATAAGAACAGCGGATTCTCTATTTTTTCAGATTTTGGCGATCGTTCAAGTGAACTCTTGAACTGCAAAAACATACATGTAGCCATATAATATCTCACATCAAAAACATACAAATACACAAATGCTGGTTTTTAAAGAAAAGTTCCTTAGACGGGTTTGCTCTGTGAGGGTTGAATCTATGAACCCGGTTTTGTCCCGAGGGGATTCTGTCTTGTTCAAAAGTAATATGTTTAAGTTTTTATACAAAACACCCCTAAATGTCTTCTTCAGCCGGTACTAATGTGGGTTTGGTGTAAAAGGTTATATCCCAAATTTCATCACTAATATGTTACGATTGAATCTATACTTGGACATTGATCTAAACCAAAGTCCACGTCTGCGCTGAACAAACATGGATCCAATGTGAACTGTTCCGGTCTGATGGAATATCGCTCATTCGTCCCACAGTTTTTCCATTTCCTTTGCACCCGTGTATTTGTTTAATAATTGTGTGCATAAAACTAATGAACCCAGACGCCTCTTCTGTCCCCAACGTCTTTTGGATGGCGTCCCTGCTCCTGCGTGACAGAATCTCTCACTGGGAGATCCAGATCAGCCTGTTGTATCTGTCTGCAGCTGCAAAAAGCCACAAATGTTGTTCTTGTTTTTGCTAAACGACTTCCTTTTACGTCAGTTGTAATCAATTTGGATTATCTTAACAACAACTATTTCAACCGCATTAATATCAGGGACATTCTTTAGAGCTACTGTAATATCAATATCAATAAATTAACAATGGTTTTTCCCATTACATACAGACTATACAGAAAGCATAATTCAACTTGTGTTTGGGAGCATGTCTGGATTAAAAACCATTATTATTATGTGACTCTTCAATAATAAAATACTTTGTTAGTTAAATCTGGGGTACATAACTTTTTTCATAAATAATAAAAAAAAATTGTCCCAACAGAAAAAAACAGCAAAATAAAAAAATAAAGAAGAAGAAAAAAAACCCGGACCACTACATACTGTATATCAAAAAAAAAATGTATCTTTTGCCCAGTTGTAAGAAAGAGCCTTTTGAGTCACAATTTGACACATTGGGCTTAGCGATTGTGGTCCTCCCTTTTTCACTTTTCTGTCAGAACAATCTGACCTATAAATGTGACAGAGTGGGGAAAAATACATATTTGTAAAAACTCGAACTGTTTTGAGAGCGAGGGGCTAGCTGTAGATTGTTTTTTTTTTACATATTCCAATTGTTGTTGTGGTTTCAATGTCAGATACCCAAGCTTTAACGACCAACAATGTTTTAAAATATAACAAAGATGTAGTTTTCTGTGTCGCGCTAAAAAGTCTCCTCTCTTTTTTTCTCTTTTTCAGCTCAGGTTCCTGACAGCGATGAGCAATTTGTTCCTGATTTCCATTCTGAAAACTGTAAGTACAAACTTTCATTACATCACGACTTCAAACAACCGCTTTGGGGACAGTTGTTTCCTGTTAAATTGCCAGAGGCTCATAACAGAGGTCATTTTTATCTCCCAATTTGGTTACAGTAATGCAGTGAACCTTAATAATCCGGGACATTTGTGTTTTTATTGTGCGTGTCCATTAGTCACTTCGTCATTTGCATACACGTGAAAAGCTGAAAAGGGTCCAGCCCAGGAAACCGGTAAAAAAATGACCGAGGACGCAGGTACAAAGGTGGTCTTTTGTGCTTGTCGGAAGGTGCAAAACCGAAAAGCAAATTCCTGGGCTGCACAACTGAGCGCCAATTTGAATGCGTTTTCCTTTTTGTTTGGTGCGAGGCTTCGAACAATGGTGATTCAGGATCTGGGTGGGTGTTGATACAAACTGTTTTTTCTTGTTCTTTTTGAAGTCTTTTTGCCGCTCTATCAATGACTTTGGCCCCACAAAAGATGCCAAAAGATGAACTCGGAAAGCATCGCATCGCCGCTACCCTCTGGTCTTCATAATGCGCTGAAAATGGCCATAGATTTTAGTCTTTTGTAGGGAAAGTGTATATTTTGACAGCCTTATAATGACATAAACATTTCGGATCTTGTTCATTGTTACTGGCTTCAAACAGCTGTCCTGGGGTAGTCTGATGGTTGAAAGCTATTCTTTGCTAGTCTCACGCATCCATGCAACCACACTTAAAGCAGTGGTTCTCAAACTTTTCATTCCAGGGCCCCCCAAGGCATAAACTCGAGCTCTCCTGCATTTGTGAAATATAGGCCGTTGCTGTTGTTTTTTATGGAAACTATGACTGTCTTTTTTATGCTACGTTTTGGGAATTGTATCTTGATGTCATACCCCTATTTTGGGAACCAAGACTTAATGGCAAGGGAGGTGTGGTGTCATGCTCAAAGACACAATTTAACTATATGCACTGGTTTGAGTGGCGTTTGAACAAGTAGATGGGCAAGTTAGCACTGTGACGGGGGACCTCTGGGAAGACCAGGTTCCACTGAAGAATCTGGCGGTTGTAATGTGCCAAACTGTTGTTGCGTCCTTAGGCAAGACACCCACATTGCCTAGTATGAATCTGGTATGTGTGTGAATGGTTAATGGTGGTAGATAGAGGGGTTGATGGCACGTCCTGGTTGTTTTGCTTCTGTCAGTATGCCCCAGTGCAGCTGTGGCTACAGTAGTAATTGTGAAAAGTGAATGGATAATGCTATGTGAAAAACACTAAATTAAACCAATGCATTGTTGATATAATTTTTTCAAATATATCTACATGTATATACTGTATATAATTAACGCTTTCTGAGCATGTGTGTAGTTCCAAATAGGAAGTATTATGACTTTTTTCTTCTGGCTTGTTATGACCTGATAATGTCGCATTCCCAAGCCCTTGCATGGGACCACTGCAAAATGACCCCTTGTCATGTGATATGCAGTATAACGTTGACCGAAGTAGCCAAAGTGTCCTTATACAGCAGCACTTCCTGTATCGTTTTTCTGTGTGTAAACATCATGTGACCGTGCCCTCCCCGTGTCACCAGCGTCCTGCCCCCTCCTCTGTGAAACATTGTGGCAGTGTCTTCCAACAATGCGGAGGAGGAAGTGCAGATGAGCCCTGGGGCCAGAGTGGGGTCCTGTCTACTTAACCCTGTGCACTGTGAGCCAATCAGCTGTCAGCGTGCGGCTGGCGTTTGACCCGGTGTGATGTGCGGGGTCACCGGGGCGCGCATTTGACGGACAATTCACTTAAAGGCCGCGGCCGCTGTCCTGCTGTTAGCGCCGCGGACGGGAACATCTCCATTCAAAGTGTGACTGATGGAAAATACAAGTTGACAAAGCGCTATAGATCTATGACAAACATTGACTCAGTGCCATGTGAGATTTCATAACACTTTTAAGCAACTTTTGTTAAAGTTAAACTCATCATTCTATCAATGTGCAGAAGCCAGTACTTTTCCCTTGTTTTGTCTATCTGAAGGCCAAGCTACATGGCACCGTGGCAGCTGCTGATTGGAGGTCTCCATGCCTCCGCTCTGTATAATACACTTGCATTCTGTTGTATCTGTGTTCGTGTTGTTCGTGCTGTCTCTACCATCGACAATAAAACATGTCTTCTGTCAGAATTAAAGACGCAATCCCAGACATGTCATCTTCTTCAGTCAATTGGGGCCAGATCTGCCCAAAGACATGCTATGGGAGCGGCAAGAAGTGGATTTGAACTCATAACTTTCTCTGAGTTTAGATGGAGGATGTTCTGGCTTCTTTTGTGTTCATGTAGTCCCTCATATGTCACCAATACTTGAGCTAACTTCACATTGTGACTTTAGCTAGCACACTAAATGAAACAATAATCTCAGGTCCTTTGCACAAATCAGTTCCCGGCAGAATAACAGACATGAAAACTCTTAAAAGTGGCCATGTTTAGACTAAAAGATTTCTCCACACAGAAGGCGATGCACCAGTGCAGAAGTCTGGAAGTGCATGTGCATTTTCAAACTTAGAAAAAACATTTGACATAATTCCTGACTTGTCAAAACATATTTCCAATTGTATTTAATATATAAAAAACACTTCATGTAGTAAAAAGTTGTGATTGTACAACATACCTGCACATCTGTGCATGAATTCTAAAGAAGACTGTGCGCTGCTGGGAAAGCCTGGTCATGTGATCGAGCAGGTGACTTGGAGCTGCTGACCTGGAGCTGCTGACCTGGAGCTGCTGACCTGGAGCTGCTGACCTGTGAGCACTTTTCTCCACTTTCAGAGCCCAGGGCTCCAAGTTCACCACAACAAGCAGCACACTTCATCTTCCTCTCCAAATAAATGTCCAGTGTATGAGACATGACTGCAGGGCTGTCGGCATTAAGATTCAACTTTTGAAACAGAGCATTTCTTTCAAATGAGAAACAGTGAATTTGGAGAATGATGTAGATCTGATTTAAAGATTCCACAGTTCAAGTTGGCACGTCAACAGATCATCCAGAAAAAGGATACGCACCTCTCCAGCACTGTCCCTGCATTTTGTGGTGTGAGCTGCAGAAGCTGCTGCTGCAGAAGCTGCAGACCTTCACACAGGGCTTTACCCAGTGTGTGCCTCTTTGAAGTTGTACAAGAACTTGGGATGAAGTTCCCATTCTACAAACTATTGGACTCCAGGCTGCTCTCAGCTGAACCTCACCAAGACCTAAAGACACAGCTGACGGTGTTGTATCAGATCAGGATCATGGGGACGTATGCTCCAGATGTTATGATGAGCAGAAACAAAGCTCTGTACAGTCTCTGGATGTGTCCCAGACCCAGAGGATGTTAAAGACGAGAAGACAAAGTCCTCACTCTCCACTCATTGACCTGATGTCACTTCTTCAGCACAGTCCTTGTGGGAGGAAAGTCCTGAGGCCACAGTCCTGGAGTCGAATGGTCTACTCTGTGATGTTTCCTTTTGTTCCATCTCATCATGAACCACTTGCCACAGACTCAGAGGTCATAGAAGTGTCTTTTACACTGAAGAATTCCCTCACACTGTTTGTCCAAAGTGAAGTGGACACAAACACATGTTCTGTATTCTGTGGGACATAAACATACACTTATTTCATAAGATCTACGTACACATAAAGCGTACAAAAAAACAATATTTTCTGTCACATATATAAATGTGTAACGCTTTTTTAAAAAATGTAGTTTTGTGTGGTCTTTTAAAAAGTCCATCATGATATTTTTGCATGTAATAATTCGTTTGATTCAGAAGTTTGTGATTTCATCAAAGATAAAAAAATTTGTTCCGGAGCTTTGGAAAATGAGGAAGAACTTGATCTGGGCCAAGAAAAACAAGAAGGAAATCAGTTTGTGGTTGAGTTTTTTGTTCTGTTTTCATTCATACATTTCTTGTTCAAACTAAAAAGTCCTTAAGTTTAACAAATGAGGCACAAGAACAAGCGCAAAACAAAATCAAGTCAGATCAAAAATGGCCTCACGATGGACCAAATACCAACACACGTGAGTTCCATTCCATTAAAGTAGTCTCCCATTCTTCTCTCTCAGCCTGCTAGTCACTATTTAGACTCTTGAGACTCTTTGAATGCAGCGAAACTTACTTGGTCCTTTGTCTTAGTTGTTTACACTTGTTCAGGAGATTGGACTCATTCATAAATTTTATTCCTTGCCTTGTGTGCATAGAGGAAGTGTGGCTGCCCCTCCCCCTGCTGCTCTCTCCATTCATAAAAAAAAGCCCTACAGTAAAAGACGGTGCTGGCTCCAAACTCCTCCCCCTCTTCCTGTCTCTGGACAAACTTTTAGCTGATTTTGAAGAATCGCTAACTGGATTTGTGCGTCTCTGCTTTCCCTACGCGGACATGTTGTGAACAGTCCCGGCGTGTGTGTATGTGTGTGTGTGTGTGTGTGTGCGTGTGTGTGTGTGTGGCGTTTGTTTAGCTTGAGCAGTGTAATTACAGACGGCGTGGCTGAGGAGAATGAGGCTCACTGTAAAAGAGAAAGAAAAGGAACGGAAAAGGTTGGAGAGTTGAAGAATCCGAGGGGAAACCCAAAGCTTCCAAATGGAGAGAATTGAAATGGAAATGAAATGGTTTTGCTTCTTAAATATATATCTTTTTCCAATCGCAAACATGAACCACACAAAATATTTATATTAGCAATATTTTTCTTACTATTTACTGAACCAACTATATTATATCAAGGCATCAATTAGAGCTTTGCAGCATATAGTGTTGTCGGCGAAATTCAGATGTGCAAACGTAATGTTGGAACTGTACTCTCATTTTAATTAGCATCATTAATCAGAAATAATTGGCACTATCCTTGCATTTGAATTTGACAAAGACTAATTTTTTCCTTAGAATTTATGTCAAGTTGAATTAGTTTTGTTGTTGAGTTAAAGCTGGAGTACCTTACTTTCAAGCCAAAAACAATATTATTATTAAATAAAAATCCATGTAATTTGTCCCTTACAAAAA